TTATAGTTCAAGTGGCTCAAATACATTAATAAGTCTTGGTGATCATATGGTTTTATGGTGGCAGTTAACTAATAAAAGGCAAAGGCAAACTTCAAGGACAATTTATGCAGCTAATGAGACCAATAATAGTAATATGAGTGATGTAGAAATTTATTTCAATACCACAGGGGTGGGAAGATACAGATCACCATTAATACTATGATATCCATCATTGTGGCAGAAACCTACAATTCAGTCAACAAGCCAAATTCTTTGAAACCCAGTCACATCAACATTCTCTTGGGGAAGACAATAAAATGTGATTCCTCAGCTGTCGCAACTTGTCACTGAAGGAACTACAAGACTGCCATGCAATATGCTTAAGAACAAAATTAAGGGAACATAAAAATCATACTGTCAGAAATTGATACTTTGGTTTTATTTATCAATATGAAGCCAGTGAAGTTTGAAATGTTAAGGTTTTTTTTTCCAGTGAATGGAATGTGGAAACAGAATATATTTGACTGTAGTGAAATATATTCTCACCAAATAGTAACATTTTATAACAAATATTACAATGTCATTTTCTAAATAAATCAGAAATAGTGAGCACTGACTCAGTTCAGTAATGATACACATCTTCCTGTAGTGGCACGAAGTCTCCTGGGCCACTGAGAAAGGTATTAACTTACTTATTTTAATATGTAGTAATTTCTTGGCCAGCATAGATTGTTTCTGAAATCATCTGAACCATGTGCCTTAGTCTTTAGAAGACCACCATTAGTTACAGGAAGTGTAATTCAGACAGACAATATATTTTGTAGTAGAAAAAGATAATATTTGGGTATACCAAACTGCCCAAGAGCCAAAGCAGGAGAACCTCAGTTGCCAAAGACGGGAAGTGGAAGAAGAAATGAGGCCTGTAGAAGACTTTTGTTCTGTTCTTTTCTGTTCTGATTCTGTGATTCTACACTTTCTCCATAAAACACAACTGTTCTATCTCTAGTACATTATTTATACTTGCTGGTTTTCATTAATAGATTAGTTTAATCAGAAGGGACCTACAATCGTTTAGTTCAACTGTCTGAGAAATTTAGCACTGACCGAAAGTTAAAAGCATGTTACTCAAGTTATTGTCCAAATGCCTCATAAACGCCAACAACATGGGACATGGACCACTCCCTAGGAAGCCTGTTCTAGTGTTTGACCACCCTGTTAGTAAAGAAATGTTATTTAATATAGAGTCTGAGCCTCCCTTGATGCCATACTTCGAACCATCCTGATGCATCCTGCTACTGGATACTAGGGAGAAGAGATCAGCACAGACAGATTTCATGCTGTACATGCTATGTCTTTCCACTGTCTTCTCTCTATTAATATTCTGACTCGATTTATTTTGCAAGACCCCCACACTCAACCTCAATATATCCAACATTAATTGGATTAGAATCTGATTTTCACATTAAAAAAATTGCCAAGCAAACACAGCCTTTTAACAATGCAGTCACGGTTAGCAAAGTTCCTAGATAAACTGTTCTCTATGCAGTAATGAAAGTATTACAGATTATGATCCATTAAACAAAGCAAGTACTTCAAGGAGGAAGTGTAGAGTATGAATTTGATTTATTACATCAGGCCAGTTATTACTGCCACAGGCCACCTAATTACTCTACAGTAGATGAAAGGTGTCTCTTTCCTTTGAAGTTACCATGAAATACTAGTTGCAGTGCAGTAATAGCACACAAAGACGTCAACTGGGAATACCAAACAGTGGACACAAACAGGATGAGGAATTTCATAAAGCATGTGGAAGATAACTTTGTCCAGCTACTACAGGAGCTGACTAGGAAAGATGTCCTCCTAAAAAAAAAAAAAAATATCAAAAAGAGAAAAATTGGTATTTTTAATTATAAAAGAATATAAAAGTTTATCACACTGTTTTGATTTGATGAGGCAAGGTTTTGGCACTGGAGGAACTGCATGGGTGGATGAGACCAGGGGCTGCACCAGCGAAGCTGGTGGTGCCTCTGTGAAAAACGTATTTAAGAAAGGGTAAAAAATGCTGCCCAGTGACTGAAAGAGAAAAAAATATGGAAACAATGATCCTGCAGCCACCAAGGTCAACAAAGTAGGAGCAGAAGGAGGTGCTCCAAGCACTAGAGTAGATGTGCCCCTGCCACTCATAGAGGACCATGCTGGAGCAGAGGAAAGATTCCATACATCAGCCCATGGAGGACACTATGCTGCAGGAGGTGAAGATGCTCTGAAGGAAGCTGCAGCCCACAGAGAGCCCACACAGGAGCAGGTGTTCTGGAAGGAGCTGTGGCCCATGGGGAACCCATGCTGGAGCAGTCCGTTCCTGAAGGACCATAGTCCATGAAGAATGACCCAAGTCAGAGCAGTTCACGAAGGACAGTAACACCTGGAAGCGGACCCACGCTGCAGGAGGGGAACACTGTGAGCAGTGAAGACTGCCAGAGAGGAATTCTTACGGACCGTCCACAACTCCCATTTCCCCATCCTCCCTGTACTACTCAGAGTGGGCAAGAAGGTGGACAAGTCAGGAATAAAAGAGTAAAGTTGAACCTGGGAAGAAGGCTGGACAGAAGGTATTTTTAAGTTATGTCACCATCCTACTGTGTTTTAAATCAGCAATAAATTAATTTCTGCAAGCCTGTTTTGCCTATGACAATAATCTGTAAACAATCTTCTGTCTTTATCTTGAACCAGAAGCATTTGATTTTCAATCCCCCTGTCCTGTTGAGAAGGGCATGTGAGAGAGCAGCTGAGTAGGTGTCTGGCAGCCAGCCATGGCCAATCCACCACACCAGGTTTGGACTCCATGAAAGGACTTGCATATGAGCATAGGGAGGGAAAAAAAGAATAAAGGGAAAAAAAAAAAAAGAAAAAAAGGATGAGAGAGGTCCAATGCTTTTAACTGCTTTACTGGGAATGAATATTCACAGTATATTTGGGTGATCCCTAAACAGCCACTACAGAATAGAGGCCCAAGTCTGTATTTCCATGAAAACCATATGCCCATATGCCAAAACAAGCTCATTTGAAAAATCTTACCTCATATGTGGAAACATATGTATCTTTTAAAAGAAGCAGGACAAAAGAAATAATTAAGTGAAGTGAAATATTTGCCATGCCAATAATCATTATTTATTAATTGCAACATGACATACATATTGGGAGGTAATCATATTGCTTACAGACTTTGCATTTACTGCAAAAATTCCTAAATTCCAAGAATATTTACCATCACAAAAGACTACTGACTCCAAATGTCTACATGGATACAAATATTTGATGGGTTCAAACCGCACACTGGACTCTTGTTAGGCAGAACACTTTTTTTTCAGTGGAATAATCAGCACATATTCCAATAGCTCTCTTTCTACCTATTATAATTTCAAAAAAAGGCACCTGTTTCTTTGCACAAGCTAAGTAAGCAGGTCTTTGCCAAGATTCCTGTCTATTGTGCATTTATGAAAGCAAACATGAATGCCACTGGATGCCAGTAGGAAGTCTTGCAGGCCTGACACATTCAGTGCCAAAACAACGGCTCTAATTAGTGAGCAGTTCTGGTCAGACAATAAAGGCCTTAACCTTCCTTGGGAAATAATGAGCAAGGCAATGTTTGAAGCCCCCAGATAAGCTTTAGAGAACAGGGAGGGTGCAGAGAACTGTGTTAAAGGGACTAAACTGACAGACACAGATGACCTAACAGTGAACTGTGTATTTGGCAATCAGCAGCCAAATGCCTGCTATACATAGGCATCATTCAGTCTTTGATTTCCCTACTTTGTCTGGATTATCAACAGAATTCAAAGGATTATATTGGTCATTACAACTATTTAAAACAAAGCAAGGGATTTGTTGAAATAGTCTGGAATACCTCCAAACTTAAGCAATTACTTCTATTCAAAGACAAGGCTTCCTGAGGATACTAGGTAAAATTTTATCTTAACAGAATAATTAAAAACTTACTAGCAGTATCAGACTTTGAGAAGTAGAATCATCCAGCACCATCTGCAATGTAAGACTGTTATCAAGTCACATACTTTTATCAATTTCTAAAGGAAATCTATCTAAAGAATAAACCTACACAGGAAGTCCTTTCATATTGAAGAGTGGGGTTGATTGAAGAATAAGGTGGATTGAATAATGGGGTTGATTGAAGAATAGGGTTGTAAATAAGTAACCTCAATAACTTTGGGCTTTGTTAGCAACTACAGAGAAAACTAAAATTACTAAAATAAGCTTTGCCAGAACCACCTGGTGGTTGCTGATATAACAATGATCCTAAAACAAAGTGATGAAGAAATAACCACCGGGGGTCCGAAAGCCCACTGCCACATTTTTGTATGCATACAGGAGGCATTGTCTAAGAAGTATGATGTAATGTATGTAATGTAATGAATATGTGTGTTTAAGGACAATATAATGACAGCTTGGTTGATGCCTGGTAGAGACACGCTTGGAGGAGCTATCCGTGTCTCCTGGCACTGCAATAAAGAATACCTGCTTGTCAACCTAAAACTTTGTTGGCGAGGTTGTTCCTGGAGTTTTCTCCGAATCAATTTGGCACCCCAGATGGGACCCTCTTTGCTCGGCTGCAGGACCCGCTGAGGACAGGGCTCCCTAGGGCCCTCGGGAGTTTTTCCTGGAGGGACCCCTCGACTCATTCGGATCACTGCGGGAGCAGACAAGGACCATCTCATAAAAGGTATTCTTTTCTTTTATATAGTCTGTAAGATGCAGGGGGCATCTCGGTTTGGTAAACTGGTTTGGTAAGCATACGCATGGTTTGGAAGCCTTCCGTAAATCATGATAGGAAATCTCGTGGGTAAAGGCGTATACCTGGGTGCTAGCGTCCGTTTGGTATACACCCACAAGAAGCAGGGGGCTTCCTGTGATTTGGGTCCTGCAAGACGCAGTGGGTGTCTTGTAGAAAAGGTTTTGTTTTTTACCGGTATACAATCACAAGAAGCAGGGGGCATCTTGCGGTTTGGGTCCTGCAAGACACAGTGGGTTGTCTTGTAGAAAAGGTTTTGGATTTTAGTGGTATTTGACTTATGTTGTGGCTTATTATAGTTATGATTTTGGTCTTGTGATTTTGGTATTGGTGACAGACTGTTATAAATGAGTTATTAATTGTTGTCTCTGTTTCAGGTGTTCTAAGATTTTGGTCTTGTGATTTTTGTATTGGTGACAGGTTGTTAGTTTGATACAATTTTAGTCTCCGCCTCAAGTGTTGTAACTGTGTGGAGTGTGTCTGTGGGATCCCATGTGTGTGTGTGAATGCGAGATTGATAATGGGAAATCAGCAGAGTGGAGAGATCTTGAAAAAGAGTCCTTTAGGATGCATTTTGGCACACTGGAAAGAACTTGGAGGGTTTCCTGGGGGCTCAGTAAATGAGAAAACGTTGACAAAATATTGTAACCAATGGTAGCCTTTGTATAGTTTGGAAGATCAGGAAAAATGGCCTAAAAATGGAAGAACTTTGAATTATAATACATTGTTACAGTTAATGTTGGTTTTGAGGTGGCAAGGAAAATGAGATGAAGTAATGTATGCAGATACGTTTTTCACTTTAAGAAACCACCCCACGTGACAGATGGAATGCGAAATTAATATATCTCCATCAGATCCCTTAATTTTGGCTTTGGAAAAGGATAGAGAAAATCAGAAAGCTAAGCTGGAGAGATGTTGTTCAGCCTGTGATATTGGGGGAATGATGTTTAAAGCTAAAAACGAAACCCACACAAAAAAAAAAACACAAAAAAAAAAACCAAACCCAACAAACCAAACAGAGTAATCAGGAAGATAGGTTGGGGGATTATGTATCACAGGTACCTCTGAGAGGAGCACTCTTGGCATCTGCCCTATTTGTTATTGATAAGGAGGAAGAGGTTGCTGTCACTGGTAACAGAGCAGAAGGACTTGAGAATGTTAAAGAAGTGTGGGGAGTGTATTGGAATCGGAAACATGTAGAGAAGAAAGATCTGAGTTGTGCTATAGGCATGGCTGCAGTGGCTGCTTTGGGACAAGTAGAAACTGGTGGAGGGACTAATGTGAGAGGATGAGGCAGAGGTAGAGGAGGAATGACAGGCAGAGGTGAGAAACTGAATTCTCCTGTGGGATGGGATCAGTGTGCATACTGTAAGGAGTTCGGATGTTGGAAGTGAGACTGCCCTGGGCAGTGCCATGGGGTGGCTCCAGTGACTGAACTGGAACTAGACTGACAGGGACCTGGGAAATCTATCCTAGCAGATCCACTGATTAAATTAAAATGAGGAACTAGAGGAAATAAAGTGGAATTTTTAAGTGGATACAGGAGCAACCTATTTGGCGTTAAATCAGAGGGAAAAGAATTTGTTACAGATGCGGGAGCTACTGGCCACCAAGGGAAAAAAAAAAGGGGGGGGGCAAAAAGAGGCATTCTTTCTGAAACCCTTAGAGTACAAATTGAGAAAACAAATAGGAGTGCATAAAATTTTTATGCATGCTAAATTCTTTAAAATCTTTATTAGGGCGAGAAGCAACATTTAAAGAAGGCAAAATGGAATTAAGAATTAAAAATCAATGGCCCAGATGCCTAAGGGCTGTGGCAGCAGTTGTCATGAATATTGAAGAGGCCCACAAATTCACCTTGGGACTAAAGGTTACTGTACTAGTGTCCCATGTTGTTAACAGCAGTCCTGGAACAGAACGGAGCCCACTGGTTATCTTCATGTTTTTTAAAATACCAGGCCACCCTTGTGGAACACGATGATATAGAAATTGTGGTGACTAACGTTGTCAATCCAGCATCCTTTTGCAGGAACAACCAACAGAACTATTAACACATGACTGCTTGGCCACTATACAGACTGTGTATTCAAGCTGACCAGATTTGAAAGAAACCTCTGGAACATGCTGAACTACAGCCCTGGAATTGGCTAAAGACAAAAGGATAAATATTTGGACTGATTCTAAATATGCATTTGGTGTGGTCCATGCACATGGTGCCATCTGGAAAGAACAAAGACATTTGAACACACAGGAGAAACAGATTAAACATGCTACAGAAATTCTACAACTACTGGAAGCTGTTCAGCTACCTGAGGAAGTAGCTATTATGTATTGTTGAGGGCATCAACAAGGTGACTCTGATCAGGAAACTGGACATAATTTGGCCAATTTTGAAGCCAAACAAGAAGTTGAACAATCTAAACTCATTCCCTTAATCCCTGACAGCAAACTAACAATTGAGAAATCTAAACCTAGATATTCAAAGGAGGACAGAATATTGATTGGAGATCTCAAAGGAGAGGAAAACAAAGAAGGCTGGGTTCAGATACCTGATGGGCGAATTGTAATCCCCTATAACCAACTCTGGAAGCTAGTTCAGGAGGAACATAATAAAACTCATTGGGGTAGCAACTCTTTGTATAAATACTTAGACGAACAAATTGCAGGAAGGAATCTATATACCATAGTTCAATTAGTGACAATGTCAGCTCTGTCTTACGAATAATCCTAAAATTGAAAATAGAAATCAAATTGGTACAACTGGGGAGGAAGTTATCCGGGACAGCATTGGCAAATAAATTTGTCTGAATTACCGAGAACAGGAGGTTACCAATATTTGTTGGTGTTAACGAATACTTTTTCAGGGTGGCCAGAAGCATTCCCTTGTGGAATAAATAATGCAAGACAAGTAATTAAAACATTTATTAAACAATGTAATACCTTTTTTTGGAGTACCAGAGGCTATTTCTTCCAACCAAGGCTCACACTTTAGCGCAAAATAATTACAAGAAATTAGTAAAAAAAATTAGAAATTGATTGGCAACTACATGTTCCATATAGGCCTCAGGCCAGTGGGCAAGTAGAAAAGATGGTTCATCTGATCAAACAACAGACTGGTCACATATGTCAGGAAATGAATTAATATTGGTACCAAGGTTTACCACTGGCTCTATTAAGAATTCAAACTAAACCTCAGTCAAAAGAAGAGGCTAGGCCATGTAAAATTTTATATGAAAGACCGTATCAGTCCCAGTTTAAAGGAGAAAGTCTTCTGGAAGTGGGAGAAGGTTAGGTCCTAGAGTTTCTGGTCAATCTGGGAAAACAATTAGAAGAAATAGGAGAATACTGGGGACAAGAGCGAGAGGCGTGTTATTATCTGACTCATCCTTTTAGATCCAGAGACTGGGTTTATGTTAACAATTTTTCAGGAGATTCTCTACAGGAGAAGTGGAGCGGACTGCACCAGATAACATTGACCACCTTTACAGCAGGGAAGATAAAGAAACAACCTGCTTGGATACATTATTCAAGAACCAGAAAGACATCAGAACCAAGAAAAAGTATGGTGCATCGAGTCTTCAGGACCCACACATATGAGACTACATCGATCATAATTTGGACTTGTATAATAATAGGTGTAGAAGCATGGAATGAAAACCTGTATCTGAGATTGGTACAAAATGTTACTAATGTCTTAAACAAGAGTGATTGTTGGATCTGTACTCATCTACCTAAATCAGGAGAGAGACTGGATATTCCTTTAATTAGCCTCCCTATCCCCTTTAAGACAAATTGGAATAGATTATGGAGAGATCCTCTTTATACCGATAAGGGCCATACAAATTTACAGGCTTTAAGGATAGAAGCCTCAAATATATCAGAAGTTAAATGTATAACCACTAACAAAACTCTTAATCAAGGCAACATGTCAGTAGGAAATTACCCATATTGCAGCTGGGCAATGTAAATATCTCAGCGGCAGTTGAGGAAATGGGAAATTGAACTGCTGATGCTATTCTAGCATTACAAGAAGAAATAACCAGCCTGTCTAAAGTAGTGCTCCAAAATCGAATGGCATTAGATACACTGTTAGCATCCCAAGGAGGAGTTTGTTCTGTAATCAATGATAGCTGTTATTCCTATACAGATCAAAGTGGAAGAATTACAACTGATCTAAAGGAAATGTGGAAACAAGTTAAAATATTTCATGAGATGGCGCAGGACAACACCTCATGGGGATTCGAAGAAATTTGGGAAAAATTAACATCATGGGTACCCAATTTCTCCTGGTTGAGACAGTTGTTTTTTACTGTATTTGTAAAAATAGGAGTGGTTGTAATTACATGTATAACGGTCCAATGCTCCTTTTGGTATTGCAAACAAACCACAACGAACTATGATGAATGGAAGAGAAATAAAATTAAGCATCAAATAGAAACAGGGAAATACTTCAGGAAACTTTAAATAAAAATGACACAACTCAGTTGTTAAAACTTTTCAAAAGACTTCTGAAAATACTTTAAAAAAAAAATAAAATGCAAATTTTAAAAATTAAATATTAAAAGGATAAACAGAAACTAAGAAAAGCAGGCATCCAAATTTGTATTATAGATACCCAAATTGCATTTTTCCTTTTGACAAGAAAATGTTTGGTCTTTGTGATGTATGTTTTATTTTTAGTGTCAAGTTGATGTTAATTTTAACTACTTGCTTTCCCTAAGTATCCTTCATTCTTGAAGAGATGTAAGAAAATTATCTGGGGAAAAAAAAGAAAAAACAAACATCACAAGCAAAAACCCAACAAATACTATTTCAAGCTAATTCTTGAAGATACATGAGAAAATTATTTATTTATGAAAAAACAATAATTTCAAAATGGTTTCTGATAGTAAAGTTTTCTGCATTTTGTTTAGAACTGATTATTCTTACTAGTCTGAGTCTATGATTCTCTTAGCAGCAATACTGCTATAAATCTATACTAAACCAATTAAGAGATACTAAAAAAAAAAACAGAAGAAAGTAAGTGTATCAGGAATTACGTTTATATATATAAAAAACAAAACCAAAAACCTACCTTAGTGGCAATAGTACGTGGAGAGGCCTAAGGAAATAAAACCACAGACCCACAAGAGCATTATTAGAACTGAGAACAAAAATACACTTATAATACTGCTCTTCTTTTCTACAAACACACGCAGAGTAGAATTAAGGATACAACTTAAAATGCACAAATATATCCTACAAATGGCTTTCTTAGAAACCTTATTACAATAAAGGGATATATTTTATTAATTCTATTCATAAAAAAAAGTCAAGCAAATAATCAGAATGTTATAATCTACACCAATTTCAATTAATTTACTGACCCAATTGCAAGACACACATATTCAGACATCTCTCTACAAGAAAGTTATGTAGACACAAAGTACTTAAATCCAGCAAATACTAGTATTTTTATTAAATGTGGACTTGTCATGATCAATAGCCTCCAAACAAGAATGTCAAGGGAAAGAAGCTGGAGAGGTGTTATATGGAACAGAATCCCAGGGCTCATTTAGGGTAAAATTTTATGAAACAGATGTCAAATCCCACTGCCTCCTTGCGCTCACAAGAGGCAAATAG